GCCGAAAAAAAAAATCGACCGACCGATCCGATTTTTCGGCCGAAAAAAAAAAATCGACCGATTTTCACACTGTTAGTGGGTTAATTGATCTGCCGTTTTTTTTTCGGGTTTTTAGCATTTTGAGATTATCAGGCATGTTGCAAAATTTGAGGCCGATTTGGACGATCTGCCAATTTTCTCGGCAATGATGGCCAAATCGGCCGATCGTTTTAACGATAAAAAATCTGCGCATGAGCCGTGACCTGCAAGGGACAGAAGTTATGGGGTGAACTTTATGATTTAGTCAGCTGACTTTTTTTTTTTTCAATTAGTCGTTGGTGGTAACGTCTGGACGATCGAAAGAGCAATTTTTTTTTTTGTTTTTCGTTTTATCATTCGAAAAATCGACTGATGTTCGACCCATCTATGGCCTGCATTAGACTAGGTTCACACCTATGCAGGTTGTGTTTGAGCGCTTTCTGCAATGCATTTTGCGTTTTTACTGCGTTTTTTTTGATGTGTGTTGTGGGTGCTTTTTTTTTTTTTTTGTTTTGTTTTTTCTTGTTTAGGCAAATGCAAAATGCATAAAAAAAAAAGTCTAAAACGCAATAAATGTTTTTCTGCAGCATTTCCATTGAGGTCTATAAAACCAAAAATGCATTCAAAAAAGTCCCTGACCCTTTCCAAAAAAAAAACGCACAGGGTGAAAACGCACAGGTGAGAACATGTCCCATAGAAAATCATGCTAAATGGACTGTAGAGCGTTTCTGCAAAACGCTACAGAAAGTGCTTAGGTGTGAGCCTAATGTCAGGCAAGTTCTAGCAGTGCAATGCAAAAAAGCAACACTGGATCTGGGCAGTAAGGGGTTACAGTTGAAGAGGAGTGGCTGGAAGTGTCAGCTGACCAGTTCTGAGTTCACCAGGCTTTTTTTTTTTTTTTTTTTTTTATTTTTACTTTATTTTAGTTTTTTTTCCCCTTCACTGCAGCTGTCCAGGAAAATGAGGCATCTGGGCACTGATTTCAAAAGAAAACTGTGTTTTTTAACCTTTTTGAGAGTTTGTCTGTTTGTCATTGATGCAAATAAAGTTGAGTGAGAAAAAAAGGGGCTGATCTATAAATACAGTGCAAGTGGCAGCCATTTTGTCTAGCACATGGTCTGATGCTGACACATGTTTGGTGAGTGGAGTTTGGATTTGGATTTGTTTGTTGTTTTCTATGTTTGTTTGGTACATTTTAGGCTTTTTTTTTTTTTTTTGCTGCACTTTTGTTTAAATGTGACAAATATATGTTACTGAGGTTGGTTTACTAATACTGGAGAGTGCAAAATCTGATGCAGCTGTGCATGGCAGCCAATCAGATTCTAATCTCAGCTTGTTCAATGAAGCTTTGATAATAAAACCTGCAGCCGATTGGTTCCTATGCAGAGCTGCATCAGATTTTGCACCCTGCAGTTTTAGTAAAATCCCCCCCCCCCCCCCCCCATGCTCCTAATGTATCTCTTCAGTTAGGTTTACTATCACCTCTGTTATTGGGGGGGCTACCTATAATTTTATTCAAGCAAGTACTGGTGATCAATGGGAAGCAATACCCCCCCACTTCTTTTTTTTTAAATATGTTGATATGCAGCATGTCGTCCCCCCCCCCCCCCCCCCCCTTTTTTTTTTTTTCTCAATGGTGAAGGTGAGCATGTCACTCATCTTTGACAAATGGGACGCATGCCCCCCCCCCCATAACAGTGATAAATGGGAAGCATGCCCCCCCTCTATTGATCATCAATGGGGAATTTTTTAGTGGATAATTGTTGCATTTTAGTGCAGTGATAAGTGGGGCTTATTCAATGGAGAGTACAAAGTGTAATACTAGTGATGGGGAAGCCTGGCTGCCCCCCCCCCTCCTCATTGCTGATGGGGAAGGCTGCCCCCCCCTCCCCACCTCATTGCTGATGGGGAAGGCTGCCCCCCCTCCTCATTGCTGATGGGGAAGGCTGCCCCCCCTCCTCATTGCTGATGGGGAAGGCTGCCCCCCCTCCTCATTGCTGATGGGGAAGGCTGCCCCCCCCCTCCTCATTGCTGATGGGGAAGGCTGCCCCCCCCCTCCTCATTGCTGATGGGGAAGGCTGCCCCCCCTCCTCATTGCTGATGGGGAAGGCTGCCCCCCCCTCCTCATTGCTGATGGGGAAGGCTGCCCCCCCTCCTCATTGCTGATGGGGAAGGCTGCCCCCCCTCCTCATTGCTGATGGGGAAGGCTGCCCCCCCTCCTCATTGCTGATGGGGAAGGCTGCCCCCCCCCCTCATTGCTGATGGGGAAGGCTGCCCCCCTGATGGGGAAGGCTGCCCCCCTTATCATTGCTGATGGGGAAGGCTGCCCCCCCTCCTCATTGCTGATGGGGAAGGCTGCCCCCCCCCCCTCCTCATTGCTGATGGGGAAGGCTGCCCCCCCCCCCCTATCATTGCTGATGGGGAAGGCTGCCCCCCCCCCTCCTCATTGCTGATGGGGAAGGCTCCCCCCCCCTCCTCATTGCTGATGGGGAAGGCTCCCCCCCCCCCTCCTCATTGCTGATGGGGAAGGCTGCCCCCCCCCTCCTCATTGCTGATGGGGAAGGCTCCCCCCCCCCTCCTCATTGCTGATGGGGAAGGCTGCCCCCCCCCTCCTCATTGCTGATGGGGAAGGCTGCCCCCCCCCCTCCTCATTGCTGATGGGGAAGGCTGCCCCCCCTCCTCATTGCTGATGGGGAAGGCTGCCCCCCCCCTCCTATCATTGCTGATGGGGAAGGCTCCCCCCCCCCTCATTGCTGATGGGGAAGGCTGCCCCCCCCCCTCCTCATTGCTGATGGGGAAGGCTGCCCCCCCCCCCCTCCTCATTGCTGATGGGGAAGGCTGCCCCCCCCCCCTCCTCATTGCTGATGGGGAAGGCTGCCCCCCCCCCTCATCATTGCTGATGGGGAAGGCTGCCCCCCCCCCTCCTCATTGCTGATGGGGAAGGCTGCCCCCCCCCTTATCATTGCTGATGGGGAAGGCTGCCCCCCCCCCTCATCATTGCTGATGGGGAAGGCTGCCCCCCCCCCTCATCATTGCTGATGGGGAAGGCTGCCCCCCCCCCTCCTCATCATTGCTGATGGGGAAGGCTGCCCCCCCCCCTCATCATTGCTGATGGGGAAGGCCGCCCCCCCCCCTCATCATTGCTGATGGGGAAGGCCGCCCCCCCCCCCCTTATCATTGCTGATGGGGAAGGCCGCCCCCCCCCCCTTATCATGCTGATGGGGAAGGCCGCCCCCCCCCCCCTTATCATTGCTGATGGGGAAGGCCGCCCCCCCCCCCCCTATCATTGCTGATGGGGAAGGCTGCCCCCCTCCCCCTTATCATTGCTGATGGGGAAGGCTGCCCCCCCCCCTCCTTATCATTGCCGATGGGGAAGGCCGCCCCCCTCCCCCCTTATCATTGCTGATGGGGAAGGCCCCCCCCCCCTATCATTGCTGATGCCGATGGGGAAGGCCCCCCCCTCCCCCTTATCATTGCTGATGGGGAAGGCTGCCCCCCCCCCTCCCTCCTTATCATTGCTGATGGGGAAGGCCCCCCCCCCCCCTCCTTATCATTGCTGATGGGGAAGGCTGCCCCCCCCCTTTATCATTGCTGATGGGGAAGGCTGCCCCCCCCTCCTCCCTATCATTGCTGATGGGGAAGGCTGCCACCCCCCCCCCCCTCCTCCTTCAGTGGTGATGGGGAAGGCTGCTGCCCCCCCCCCCTCCTTATCATTGGTGGGAAATGGGGAAGCATTGAACCTCCTTTTCATTACTGATCAATGGGAATGTATTTTTAAGTGTGTAGGATTGTTGCATTAATAGCGCAGTGGTCAGGGTCAGGTTCTCATCTCTGCGTTTTCATCGGTGCGTTTTGTGGCAAGTTTCAGGGACTTTTTTTAATGCAAAACGTTACATTTTTGGTTCTATAGACTTCAATGGGAATGCATCAGAAAAGCATGTATTGCGTTTTTGCTGAATTTTGCATTTAAAATCTGCCTAGAAACATGAAAAAAAAGCGCCAAAGGCAAGTGCAAAAACACAAAACACAATGCAGAATTGCCTAAAACGCAACCTGCATAGGTGTGAATCTAGACTAATATAGCAAACAATCACATGATTGGTTTAAAACAGAACGGGTCAGTTGCTATTTGGCTCGCTGGTTATTGCACTTTCCTATATGACCTGTTTGTTTCTGAACCCAAATTCATACTGAATGGTCATTCATATCATAAACCATGTTTCATCTTGCTCTGTTCTTCTTCTAACCATAACTATTGGAGTTCAGTGGGATTGATGCCATTAAAGCAACATGGCCCTGCATCTTCAATAAATTGTAGGTTCCCAAACACATGAAGAGCGAGTTAGAAGCTTTTATCGTAACTCATGGTTTGGGTTTAGCCGCAGATGTTTGTGGACCCGTGTTCAACCTCCTTAACACATCGCCAAACTGAGTAATGAGCTTTTCTCACAACTCACAGGCTTGGGTTTAACCACACCACTTAGTGGTCCCCAAGTTCTGAGGTCTAGGAGTGAGAAATTAGAGGTATGTATGAAATGGAATCTAGAAATGCTGTAAATTGGGGGATATTTGCATGAAATGTTTTTCCATTGTATGAAGCTCAAGTAGCAAATCATGATATCAGGATATTTTGAAGAACATTTCTCAACACTTTACAGGAAACACAAGGATCACTAATAATGCTTACAAATGTCTCATGTCTGTTCATTTTTCTTGTGTACATGATTAATACTACTGCAAAGCTAGTCTTCTAAAACCTTCATACTGATTGAAACCGTTCCTTAAGCTAAGCCTACCGGGCACTTGTACCCCCTTCCTGCCTACCCCCTTCCTGGGCACTTATACCCCCTTCCTGCCCTGGCCCAATTTCCAGCTTTCAGTGCTGTCACACTTTGAATGACAATTGCGCGGTCATGCAATACTGTACCCATATGACATTTTTATCATTTGTTTTGTGACAGAGCTTTATTTTGGTGGTATTTAATCACCTCTGGGTTTTTTATTTTTTCTTAAACCAAAAACCACTGAAAATTGTGAAAAAAAAAAGAAGTTTTTTTTTCTTAGATTTTGTTATAAAATTTTGTAAATAAGTGATTTTTCTCCTTCACTGATGTGCGCTAATGAGGCTGCAGTGATGGGCACTGATGAGGAGGCACTGGTAGGTGGCACTGATGGGCATTGACAGGCATCACTGATGGGCACTGACTGGCACTGACTGGCACTGATGGATGACACTGAAAGGCAGCTCAGATGTGCACTGATATGTGGCATTGATGTGCACTGGTAGGCACTGATATGTGGCACTGTGGGCACTGGCAGGTGGCATGGATGAGCACTGAGAGCTGGCACTGATGGACACTGACAGGTGGCACTGCTGGGGTACACTGATCATCAGGGCACACTGATCATCAGTGCCCTGATGACAGTGTACATGTCCACTCCGAGGAATGCATTACTGGCTCTCCTCTCCTCACGAGCTGTCAGCGTGACAGCTCGTGAGGAGAGAAATGCAGATAACCCGGCATTTCCCTGTTTACATGCGATCAGCTGTGATTGGACACAGCTGATCACATGACCAAGCCAACATCTTCGACTCTTTCCGTGGATCGGTGATCCACTGTGTCCGAGGGACACAGCGCACCGCTGATCGCCGCGCTGCACGCTCCCGGAGCTGCGCATGTGCGGTGAGAATGGGAGGACATCATATGACGTTCTCCCAGAACGAGAGAACTGCCTTGCGCCCGTCAATGGCCTATATGGCGGGCGGGAGGCGGTTAAACTAGCCTGGTTATATAGCAGGGACAACAGACCTCTATGGTCCAGGTAGGAAAGGTTGCTGCAATTATTTTCCTAATTGGTGGCACTGCAACCCATCACACTAATGTACATTACCATACATTGCTACAGCAGCCAGATGTGGAGTCTGTTTTGGTAAAACTACAGCTGTTATGGTATGTTCCTGAAATGCTCTTAAACCCCTAAAAAAATAAAACATTTGTATTGCAACATACCAATCCTTAAATGTAATGGCAGCATTGGTGTTCTTTTTTTAGGCCATTCTTCCTTTATTTTTACCTACAATAATATCAATAATACACTTCCTGCCTGACAGCCACAAATGGCGGTGCGGGTAGGGCGCATTTGCGCCCCTACCCGGAAATGCAAAATCACGTGTATATACATGATTTTGAGCACCTGTGCCCAGGGGCGGACTGACCATTCGGAAACTCGGGCACTGCCTGAGGGCCCGGGGTCAGTAAGGGGCCCCATGAGATGCCCCTGGTACCTTTTCAAAGGTTTTTTTTGGGGGTGTGGTTTGAGTGTGGGCAAGGACACTGGGGTCCCGTGATCCCCTATTGCTCGGGGGCCCCATGAGTTGTCAGTCCGCCCCTGCCTGTGCCGCCCTGCAGCCGTATTTCTGCTATAGGGTGGATGGGAAGTGGTTAATATGAGACATTTTTACAAGGTGTCACAAAAAAAAAAGTCTTGACTCCAACAGGGCCGGAAGGCAACTGATCAGTGTTCTAACATGTACCTTGTACCCCCTACTCCAAGTGACCTTGGCCAGCTACTCCCTCCAGAGCCCATCTCAAACGTAGGAACTGGTGTCCCCTGTGAGATGGTTCACTGGCCACCTCTCTCCTAAATGGGGCTGTCGGTCAACCCAGCTCAAGGTTTGCACAATCTCGCTGCCAAAGCTGGGGGTGAATAATAGGATCTCTATTATCCAGTCTGTCACCCAGCTTGGCTGTTGATTGATGATTGTTTAAAAAAAAAAACAAAAAAAAAAACAAATTTTGAAACAAAGGTAACTTGGGTGCTCCAATGATGTAAGTAAACATGCTGCAACTATGAACTGTCATACTGATTTTTATGTACTTGAGTTCCTTGACTCCACTTATTGGCTTAACCTCCTTAGCGGTAACCCCGAGTGTAGCTCGGGGTAAAATTTCTATACCAAGAGCGGTAACCCCGAGCTACGCTCGGGCTTACCATGCGGCGTTGCCCAGGGGGTCCCTGCAGCACTTACCTTGTCCTTCGCTCCCACGATGTGTCCCCTGCAGCGTCCCCGGCCATCTCCTCCGGCTGATGCCGGCATCCGGCTTCCGTGTTCCGGTCCCTGTGACGTTGGGACGTACGGGCGCCGGAACCGGTGGCAAATTTGAAATTTTTTAAAAAATGTCATTTTTGCTGTCATTGCTGTTTCAATGCATTTCACATATATTTTGTCCCTACTGCTTTGTCCTGTGCCCTGCCTGCATTTTTGAATGTTCTTTCTGCCTGGAAATTTAGAAAAGTCCATGGCGTCCAAAAAGCGTCCCTTTACGTCAAAAGCGGTTTTAGAACAGCGATAGTAAATCAGAACCACTTGCAGAATTGAGTGATAATGATTCGTGGGGAAATTCGTCATCAGACACTGAAAACGATTTTGCGACTTTGCTCAGCGATGTGCGAACTTGCCTCTGTATTTCAAATTTCAGTGTTTTTGGTTTGATTATATTATTGAATTTAAATTTATTATTATTATTATAATATTATTTTTTTGATTATTTATTAAATTATAATTTATGATTTTGTGTTTCAAATTTTATCCTACCCGGGATGTTTAATAGACTCTTGTTTGTACAGATTTCAGTGAGTTCCTAAAAATTACAGCCTACAATAAAAAACTACATATTTCCATGCAGAAAAATGGTACCGCTTTCAGTACCAAAAATCGGAAAGAATCATACCGCCAAGGAGGTTAATAAAATAAATGTATTGGTAACTTTTTCATAGTTCTGACTGGGAGGATTTTTCAAAGCAGCAGCTGTGCATGGTTAACCAATCAGCATATTGGAACAAACTGAACATAGAAGCTGACCGGTGTTTCAAGCGTTTGAAACTCCGGTAAAATCTATTCCTGAACGCAAGTTTGGTGCGTTATAAAAAAAGACTGTAAACTCAACTGCCTGTAATCAACGATGTGTACATGGACACATAGGAAAACATTAGGGAGAGTTCAGGGGCTGCTGAAAAAACCACTGAACAGCTCCTGAACGTCAGTTTAGGAGCTGCGGTCTACATGAGCCCTAAAGATGTGAAAGGCCTGAACATTGAATGAACAGTGTAAGGCTCTCTAAGTGCAATATGTAGACAATATGATTCCACATTAATGGTAGAATCTAATATGATGTTAATGCTTGCGTATGCTAGCAGCTTCTTGTGCTCCAAGGCCCCGTTCACACTGGAGCAGAAACTAGTGTTTCTGTAAATGCGTTAAAAATGTGTGATGCGTGTCCTTGGAGCGGAGGGAGGACCATTCAAATGAATGTTGCTGCTCCAAAAGTGCGCTAAAAAGGCAAAACACAATGCAGTTGCTCGAGTGTGGACGGGGCAAAGTGTCGGGAATGATTTGGAGTCTCATTAGAAAGAAGCTGCTTTATATAAGCAATGAAACCTCTTAAACATGATAGAACAAATCCATTTTAATGTAACTTGAGGGTTCTTTCATGCTGTCTGTTTCCAATCTGCTTAGCAGGGAACTCGTGAAGTGATTCAGAGGAGGCATGAGCTCAGAAGTGTTTGGACATGAGTTTGAACCTGTTTGAGCTATCCTGATGGTAAACCATTGGAGTGGACAGCCAATCATGTGGCGGGGGCATTTTCTACTCCACAGCCATGTGTATACATGCCCCTTGCATACGTGTAGCTGCAGGGTGGGGGGGATGCCTCTGCTGCCTATGATTGGCTTTCCACTTTAACAGCTTTGCGGTGGGATAGCTCAGGTGGGTTGGACTCTTGATAGCTCATTTCTAATTTGGAGAAGAATGGGACTCCTGACACTTGGTCACATCTGTGCTTGTCCAATGTATTTTCTCTTTTTAACAGCTGACCTTTTCAGACCACATTTTCGGTCTATGGGCAGCTGGATGAAAATGGACTTGAATCCGTGTAAATCAAACTTCCCCAGAAACATAAGGTTTTTGGACATAAATACTCGGAGGCAAGCAGATGTAAGTCTATAGATTTACACGAGCTACTGATCATATCCACCATAAAAATGGACAGGTGATTGAAAAAACATGTAAGAAAAGAATCTGCTATCAGGCAATCCTTGTGTGCATCTGGTTTTGAACACTGGTGAACTGTATCATAAACGTTCATCCTGAGCTTTTGGCTTGACTTTTTGAAGAGGGACTTTTCAGAACTGAATAACTTTCTGTCCTGAAGAAAAGACAGAGAAATGTGGCCTGCAATGCTTGGCATCCCATTCAAAAGAATGCTAGTTACATGGCTCCTGGATTTCTTTTGGCCTTGGTGTATTTGGTGCTGATGCTGACCCTAGTATGTAAAACTCATATAAAGTCAGTGATTCTTCACACCAAATGTAAGCAGCTTGTGTGAGATGTGAACATAAACACAATAAATGTGATTTGTTCAATCCACAATTGTATGCAAAAAAAGTGAAAGTCCACTCAAAATAGGTCAAACTGGATCATAAAGACTGTCACCAGGTCTCCCAAGGGTGTGCGCTCACCTTACAAATAAGCCCTCATTACAGGGGCCAATAAAGCCTTACCAGTAAATGACAAGCCCCATGGTCTCTGGTGTCAGCTACAGGTGGATATGCTCATGGACACACTTTTTTCTAAGGCTGAGTTTTGATACTGTGTATACAGTTTTGATCAACAACAGAGAATGCAAATGTGTCCGAGTCCAAGCCAGCAAACTGATAAAACATTGCTGTACGTGCTGACTTGGAATGCTTTAAAATGTTGTTTGTTTTTTTTTTTTTTTTTTTTTTTGCAAATAAAGCAATGCATGTCTTTTTAAATTAGATTTATTATTTGTTATAGATGTAGTCTGATTGTCAGGATGTCGCATCAATAATAATAATTATTGCAAAGAATTAAACTTGGACTAGGATTTTTTAGGCATCAAAAACACCTCTAACAATCGACAATTTGAAACATACTGCTTTTGGCCGATTTAATTCTTTGTGTCCAGTAACTGGCCCAATCTTTACTGTCAGACAAAACCACCTCACTTGTTACAAGAGAACCGTCAAATGTTGACATGATTATACATATGAATACCAACATGTTTTTTCACCTTCAAAATCTCCTTCAGGGAAGAGCAGGTTGATCTGAAATAAGAATGCATATAATCGTTCCCTTTGATATATCTATAAAATAATCACAATTTTCTTTGAAATGCATTATATCAGATTTAACCTCTACTTCCTTTGTCAAGTTTTGACTTCAAAATCTTCAAACGTCCAAATTTGACTATTTTGCAACATATGTATGTGGGGTAGTTTTTGATTTGACAGTAAAG